TATTATTGAACTTTAAGGAGGATAAGAAGCAAGGTATTCCATATGACATATAAATAATTTAGAACATTATTGTTTGCGTAACCCGAACATTAATATCTAGATGAGTTTAATTGATTTTCGTCGGAGAACTAAAAGTAAACAGTAACGCTTTTGTACGTTCTAAAAATATTTATTTCGTTGTCCTATATTTCGCTCCTTTTTAAGCACGTATTATTTATAATGAAAAGTATCATACATTCTCTTGTTGACATGGAATTTTCATTTAAAGCATGCAATGTAAATGCAACTCTCTTATATAAGAGGAATGTTTTAAAACTGTAAGCTTCTAAAATCCTGAGAATTTCATGTATGCCTTTTTACACAGTTAAACTTCTCCAACCTGTTTATAAACTTATCGATTTCACACGGATTCCGTTAGACTAGATCGCCAATAAAATGTTCTTGTTCAAATGTGTCGAACGTATATACGTGCTACGATACTATCCAACATATTAACGATATTAACTCACAGTTTCAAACGCTATCAATATTTCTAGCAATTGACTCGAATGCATTGGTTAAAAAAATAATGTGGAAAGAGTAGGTCCGCAAAGCCGAGGCTCTCAATCCTTCTCGCAATTTGCTTCTAACCATCAAACCGCAAGCCATGGCACAAAGTGTTTCTAAAAACTTCCTTTCTGTTAGCATTTACCAGTGAGCAAAGCTGCGCAACCACGGACCGCCATTTTCACTCCGTAACAATCTCGTCAGCAAGAAGGTCTGTAGATTTTTGTCCATTACTACAGCGTCCTGATCTTGCAAACCACGATACGTCTACAGAGCGATCAGCTCGAGGCACTTTGTCTCTCGAGCCACGAACCTTCATTCTCCTCTCCGTTAAGCGTACCAACGAGCTTTTCACGCGCGGCAGCGTACCGGTACTCTAAGGATAGAGTAGTTACGGTTCTTCGTGAATTTCGAAGCGCTTTCGAGATAATGCCAGCGTACCGGAGCGGCACATTTAGTCGAAGACAAAAACGAAACAAGAGGGTAATTTCATTGATGGCGATCAATGCCAGAGGACGCGGACAAAAATGATGGCGCGGCCGTTGCATAGGGATCTAGAAAGTAAGTGTACAGCCGTAGCAGGCGGCGTTAACGAGTGGCATCGCTCAGCTGGAGCTTAAACCCTCGTTAGGAAGCTAACAACCGACCATATGTCTTGTAAATCGCTGGTCCACGTGAAGCAGCGCGCTCGAATCTACGAATTTATGCGGTCGTCGAACGCGGCCAATCCAAACGATCGACCGGAGAACGAGCTTTCGAACAAACAAAAACGCAACGTCCCTAGCTGCAAATAGCTCGACCGTGCGGCGACAAACCGCGCCTGAGTCGCACGTTGCTTGGACGCATTGCGCGCGACAACCTTCAGTTTCGATCGAAAACTTTCTGTTCCTCCAAGTTTTTTCGAAAGAAAACGAATACTAGAGGTTGGTCGCTGAGGCTAGAAAACGGAACGACCGCCGCTCGATTTTCAATTATCGTAGCCCCGTTTGCGATTTAAACGATGCGATGGTCCCCTAGACTGTTATGGGGGCTTGTTCTCCACGATCGATCGCCGACCGATTCTCCACTCGTTGGAAATCGAGTTTGGATTAAGCTTCGACGACGTCCTCTATTCCTAGTACTCCTTGTACGGAAGCATCGTTTTCCGCGTTCCGATAACGCCCGTGAAACGACAAGTCGTAATCTCATTTATCGTGGACCTCTCTAAAGAACAGACAGAAAACGAAAGAGAGAAAGAAAATGGAAGCGAGGGAAAAGGTCGAAGATCATCCCTTTTAGTTCGGACAACGCGCATTTCCAGCATAAGAAATCTCACAGAAGTTTTCATGCGTTCTACGTAGGAAACTGTTACATCGACTCGATCGCGATACCTCGTACTACTTTGGCTACGAATGCTCTATTTTCGCGTAGAATGACAAATCTCTTGAATCTTCTTCGACACACTGGCTCAAGCATGTAGAGAATAATTTTTCTCCAGCCTTGAGATTTAAATTGCACTCGAAACTGTGCTCGAGCAGCTCTTAAAAGTCTTGTTACCTTACAATGATGTAACACCCTGACTCCCTCTGTCTCGACTTGTTCGCTCCTCTTACTACATCGTTATATCACGTTTGATATTCAAGTACATTCTTTTGTATTTTATCGATAAAACGAAACGGCTAAGATACAGGGCGATTTGATGTATAATTTGATAATAAAAGAATTACTACACAAGATACTCGATTTAAAATTAAATAAGGTCTTTAATTTTAATAAGGTTATTTTGTAAATAAATAGTGCATGAAGTATGTCCCATGACATTTTTTCGCAACACTAATTTCAAACACGGTAAACGTGATTAGTTACTCTTGCAATTTGCATACTAGAATTAGATGTTTCAACGCATACATCGACCAAGAACTACGTATTACTATTACTACTACTAATACTAAAAATGAGCATAGTAACAAAGTAGTAACAAGATTGACATCTCATACTGTGAATGATCCAGAGAACCATAGAAAACCATTTGTAGTTGCTCGCTTTTATGACAAATTGCCGAGCACGCGAACAATATGACTACTTGAATGAAATCCTCGTAATAAGCATGATAAGCCTTAAACCCGAAAATCCTAAAAGATGTTTAACATATCTATGTTATAACGGGTCATTCCTAGATGTACCATCTCCTCATTTCACTTCTCTTTTGGTGATTCTATTTTTTACTTTGCTATAATAGTTTTATAAATTAATGACTAAAACAAACTCTTGAATAAAAAATATTTAAGTAAAAAAGGTCAAGAATAAATGTACTTACTGAAAAAGAGGATAAAATCCAATGAAAATAATATGAAATTGAACGAATAATAATTGATTTCAAATGAAATATTTAATAGAAATATTCTCAATAATATGAAATTAAACGAATAATAATTGATTTCAAATGAAATATTTAATAGAAATATTCTCAGGCAATCCCTTCATCAAAACATATTCTTTGAGAACAAAGAAGTAGCGAGATTTGCCTGTCGCGAGGTGTTTTCTTGCACGTGAAATTTGATATCCTTGGACGGATAAAATTGAACTCGGGATCAATCACAACGGGACGTGCACTATGCTCGCCAAAAATTCTATGTAATACAGCCAGCCACCCGTGTCGATTCGGACCTTCCATCCTACGAGACACGATTGAGTGACCAAAAGAACAAAAATGCATGCGACTCACCATTAAACGCCAAGAACGTTATCATCGATGTTGTTGTGGTTCAGGAGAAGTCATTATGAAGACCGTCAGTAAATAGGAATCACCGAATCCCACTGCAAGAGACGAAGACTGGAAGAAATCTGTAACAAAGTATAGAATATTACGATTTGTCCATAAAGACATTATTAATTCTTTAAAATGTGTGAAATAACAAAAGATTGACGTCGATTAAACGAAGAAAGAGGAGTAAAGACTTTAACAGAACATGTTAAATATTATAATTTGTTCTTGACATCATACTGTTGATTGTTTAAAAAATTTAGGACAATGAGAAATAAAGCTCTTCGAACTTGACAATAAGAAGAACTGAAATTCTCATAAAGACTAGTTACTATAAAAATTGGAATTCTGATATAAAAAATAAAAACTTAGAAATGACTTTAATGACATCTAAACCAAGTTAAATATTATTTAATTAATATACTTAAATATTATTATGGATAGTAAAATATTTCTTAATATCGGGAAATACCTATGAATATTCCGTAATGTAATTGATTTGTAAAAATTTTACTCTGAATGTCTCGTCGTTAGAGATGTACAGAGAGACATGTACTTCGAAATAATAAAATATGGCGTGCTTTCTTCGTCGGTTAAACACAGCTGCGCAATACCAAAAAAATGCGATGCGCAGAACGTGTCTGTGATTATTGAAAAAAGTGACTAACAGCATTATTACTGGAAATTCACGACATACGTATGTAGCAAAATGTAAAAAGTATTTCAAAATCTTATTAAAATATGCTTTCTATTATTTTAAAATAAATTAAATATTACCATCCATAATCCAAATATCCATAAAAGGTATCGGATTCATCATCAATTATGGCGTCCGTTTGAGTTTCATGGCGTTCCTGTAATACCTCGAAGTACGTGCAAAGAAAACGTACGTTAATTAAACGAAGTTAACACTAGTGTATTTATGGAGTGAAAGAGTGATTATGAAAGTACATACTACGTAGTAGAAAGATCGGCACTAATCGTAAAGATACACGGACACACATCTAATCGCTTCGATTATCCACACTAGAATGACACCCCGCGCCGCGATTTACCAATGAACTTCGATTTGCAAGAAGTGGGGGGGCTCACCGGCAAGTAATGTAATTGATTTGTAAAAATTTTACTCTGAATGTCTCATCGTTAGAGATGTACAGAGAGACGTACTTCGAAATAATAAAATATGGCGTGCTTTCTTCGTCGGTTAAACACAGCTGCGCAATACCAAAAAAATGCGATGCGCAGAACGTGTTTGTGATTATTGAAAAAAGTGACTAACAGCATTATTACTGGAAATTCGCGACATACGTATGTAGCAAAATGTAAAAAGTATTTCAATATCTTATTCAAATATGCTTTCTATTATTTTAAAATAAATTAAATATTACCATCCATAATCCAAATATCCATAAAAGGTATCGGATTCATCATCAATTATGGCGTCCGTTTGAGTTTCATGGCGTTCCTGTAATACCTCGAAGTACGTGCAAAGAAAACGTACGTTAATTAAACGAAGTTAACACTAGTGTATTTATGGAGTGAAAGAGTGATTATGAAAGTACATACTACGTAGTAGAAAGATCGGCACTAATCGTAAAGATACACGGACACACATCTAATCGCTTCGATTATCCACACTAGAATGACACCCCGCGCCGCGATTTACCAATGAACTTCGATTTGCAAGAAGTGGGGGGGCTCACCGGCAAGCCAAGAGTAAATAAACTGTGCTCAAGGATATATATGTTTTCAGTAGGAAGCATATTCTATACCTAATAAAGAAACGATAGGTCGGACTGAAACGCGAGATGAACGTTGAAAGTAAACACACATGAGATAATATGTATAATTTAGTCTGACGAAATTTATGCAGTTGAAACGTGAATATCTAAGCATAGAAATTTGATATAGGTAAGTGTCGTAATTTAATTAGGTTAAATAAACATAATTAATAGGTAGAAATCATATTGGAATTTTATAGCATTTAATTTTCATTTAATATATAATATAAGTAATATTAATGTAAACATCATACAGCATTCTTTTTTAATATAACCTATAGAATAATCAAGTATGTGTTTTGTTAAATGAAGATTTAGGATAGTCGGTAACAAGAAATTATAAATAATCGTGTTTAACTTTCTACAAATATGAGAATTAGGCCACATTTTGTCTAGAATTACTCTATATTCAAATGTAGGCCTTAAATTATCAAAATAATCTAAATATTATATGCTAATATTTATCATCACTTAGACATTTTGCCAACAGAATTTTTATGAGATACTTTACACTTTTTTCATGTATTTGTTAATTTTTTAAAAAATTAACTGCCTTTTTTTCTACTGCTCTTCTCGATGCTTTTATCCGCGATATTATATTACATCGTGTAAATGAGAATTTTCGCAAAATATGCAATATGTACATATGTACGAATTTCCACATTTATTTGGGTGTAATATTTAGGTAATAGTAAATTTTATTTTATTTGCGATACATTCTACTATTTAAACAAAAAGCCAACCCTACGTATTTTAGAATGCTATATAATGTTAACGTTTATCAAAATTGGTTCGTTACGCTTTATTTATTTTGAACAATAAGCAGAATAACAGAATTTCAATAATTTTAACGTTGGAATATCTTTTTGAATAAGAATAGTGTTAAAATAGTAATTATGCGTAACGAACATAGAATACCATGTTCAAAAAATCATATTGTATCATATTAATCAACTCGATTCGTTTTGTAACTTTCGTTCTTATCTTTATATTTTAATAAAATACAACAAACAAAATATAAAACATCCTGATATAAAAAAGACGAGCAATTCAATCATCTACGATTCTAGTAGTTAACAGTCACAGAATACAAATGTCATGTACTTCCCTCAAAATTTATTTCTTCAATTCATTTCTCCAATTCATTATTTCCTCTATATAGCAATGAAAGTTTTCTCGCAGTTATCGACAGTATTCCATGCTGGTTTCTCGCCGTACATTTTCTCTCGTTCCGCTCGATTTCCGATCAAAAGACGTAGACAAGCGGGACTTTATTTAATGAATACAATGAACGTGGGTCCGGTGCTTCTTTTTCTTTCCTTCCTAACCTCATCCACTCCCCGTCATAATGAAAAGTTCCCTCATAAAGAAAGTATGTACTATGGCATGACTTCATTCAGGTACTCTTTAAATTTTCAGATAACCACCGAATGGCTCATAATCCAGCGGCATGTCGCGCCTATCGTTCCAAGCTCGAAAGATAAATAGAAGCACGGGGACCAGCACCGCCTCGAGCGCATTACGTCGCTCGTTCTCTTTCACGCGCAGGTTGGTATACCTCGAATTTGCATTGCCCAGACAACGGCAGTGCTGCTGTCTGTACCCAACGAAACTTCAAGCCTGCCAACATTTCTAGCTTCCGTTTCGACAGCGCGTCACTCTCTCGTTGAAAATGCGAATACTGGTGAAAAGGAAATGGGGAGAAAAAAAGAATTGGTTGCACCTAATATGTAAACCTGAATATACATAGTAATACAGTGATTAATGAATTCTCGATTCGAAAGTTTTTTATTTGTTTAAATTTTATATAAGAAATGCGTTGTGCTGTTACAATATATTACATAGGAAAGTCTGTACAGGCTATGGTTTTAATTTGTCGTGTTTTATTAGAGAAGTAAAGCTCGCGTGCTTCGACGGTAAGCTCGCACTTGTCCTTGCGTGCAAGTGTTTCGAGCTACGTTTTTAGCTAGATGTTCTGATCTTCTTTTCTTATGACGAAGGCGTACTTCGTAATTTTAATTACAACTATAATTACTCGTAGCGATATGAGATAACAAATATGATGGAGAGGTTGATACAATTGTATGGATACAAAGGAACTAATATTACTTCAGAGAAAAAAAAACTTATGACGACTAAAACATTACCTGTGATGATTGATGACGATGCATAAAGCGATTTGATTATTATTAATGAGTTTATTAAATGTTTAAAAGAATTATTACTTAATTACTATAAATTAGATTACTTAATTACAAAATAAGGTATCGATTTTAATATTATTAAAAATACACATTTTTCTGTTAGAAATCCTACATCTAACGAGGTAACGCTGATGTATCAATACCCACTTATCCATTTAGTGATAACTATATATTATTATACATGATAACTGTGTTATACAAGTAGCTCGCTGTACTGAGAGACGCAGTTCTGAACAAATCTATCGAGTTGTAAGACCGATTATGCGAGGTGATGCGACACGATGTGACGATGTTATCGGTGCGCTACATGTTAAATTAATTAGATGCAGTTGTTTTCTGTTTTGTTGTCGTATGAAATATGATTTATTATTGCAACTGTTTACAGCTATCGAAAGTAATATAAAAATTTTGAGTATACCAACAACTTTAGATCCGCCGAAGATTCTTCGAAGCATTGAAAAATAATTCAAGGTAGATGTATAGTATGTACTTGTTAAAAACTCTATTTCTATTAGGAATTCATAAGGAAACTTGATATTAAATTTAATATAATACGCATACTCTACTTATTGAAAGAGCATGAAAAGTTGTTTTAACTTTCTGAAGTTCTCGATAATTCTATAAAAAGAAACCACGAAATGACGAAGAGAAGAAAACAAAAAGGTGTATTGGTAACTTTAGTTCATCAAGCGTGTAGATAGTCTGACAACATAGCGGGAAAATATTTTAAGAAGAAATTAGGTCGACGACGAAATTAAGTTTTAGTGTAACTTTCTCAATAACCGTTACTTTCTTTCCTCTCTTTATATTTTTTGCCTTATATTTTAATAAATTTTGCTTTCATGGATGTACTAGCATTTATCGTAATTTTACTTTAATAAAGTTTTATGATTAAAATTGTACGTGTGGTATTTTCAGATATAATATTCAGAATATATTTGATTTATTATTAGAAAAGAGATAATTAAGAAAACTAGTATGTATAGAAAACTAATGTGAAATTGATTCAAATATACCTTATTCTTAAAAGTTCTTTTTGTTCAACGATTAAAAATAGATAATAATTGATCTTATTTCAACTACATTTGACGTCTCGTCATTTGCGTTTGGTCCTCTGCCTGTAGATCTTCAAGTAAACGGGATAATTTCTTGACCCCGCAGGCATCTTACATTCTCATACCTATGTCCAATTGAATTCGGAAGTGCATATACCAATTGTTGGTCGGCGTCCAGACATACTGATATCAGACCAGGAAATGTTCCGGTATCGACCGCTTTACCTGTGAAACTATGCGAACATACAGTGACTGAACCGAGGCTGAAGGAACTTCGTTACGTCAAAACCAAAGTGATCTGTAAATTGATTTCGCTATTTAAACAAAAAGCAGCCTTCAGCTAATAACTCAATACAAGTATTCTTTTTAACCTACGTGTTTATTTACTATCCTATTATATTTGGAATCATTATACATAATGTATTTTTAATGAATAGATCCACTTTAAGAAAGATGTCTAAAAAGTAGTTACATAAAATATTTCTAATGAAAATGCGACACAATGATCCGTTTGCATTTTATTCCTTTCTGATATACAATTAATACTGATTTATTTCTCTACTTTATCGAGATATATTATTCAACTACAAATCTGATTTTGTTGAATGATTTCCATTATCCTATGTAATAAATTATCTTTTATAACTAATGTAGTTATGCCTCGTTAATATCGATTAATAAGGAGTTGTAATATTGACTCTGTCACAGTGCCAATTCTCAGAAATAATCCAAACGAAGGATTATCGTGTTCTAATCTCGGCTCAGGTTTGTAGAATAAATAGAACGACTAAATCCGCGTAAGAGAACAAATCCGCCGCTGTTTGGAGCTCGAAATTAACAAACGGCTAATCATCACATTGGTTGATAAAAAGTGAAATTCTGTGAAAATATGATGGAATTTATGTAGAGTAAGTCAAGAGTGTAAGTTTTTCAAGGTTTTGAATGACGTTCCTGAATATATTTTAAGAACGGCTATATCTGAAAATGAGATTTATCGAAATAGAAAATTTTCGCAAAAAGTGTTATTTTACTTGGATAAAAATGATATTGTAACGCCACGTTAAACATAATTAAAAATAGTGAGATAATTGCTAATAGTGAATACATAAAAGAAAAATCAATAGCTATCTAAAGATCCAAAGCGAATTTATAGGAATCTGGCGATTGAAATAAGGTGGATAACAAGTGGGATAGGGTAATAGAAGTATCCCATTAAATGAGGAGTAAGATTCAATGATGTGAATACCTGAAAGAGGAGGGTTGAGTTCCAACGGATAATGAATCTATAAAAAAAACCATAGAGACAATTCCAATCCACTTTACCTGATTCAATAGCTTTCGAGCAACTATTTGAAACACGGAGCACTATTCTTGAACATTCGTGCGTGAATCATACTTATCGATGTTTGACATCCTGATTAAAGAGAAGACGGGTGAATAGCGCTTATAGAATATCATATACGGCACCGTTCAAGTTATCTCTGTTATTATCCCTGTTTCACCTCTATACCCTTGTTTTAGTTATTTGCCTTGGTTATTAAATTTATGCTCTCACTAACTAATTTCTCGATAGACAAATAGATAGAATAAATAGAATAGATGAATTTTTTGATAGATATGTGAAAATAGTTAAAAACATTTTAAAACGTATATTTGCTGTTGTTGATCAACAATTACTCAAAGAATGAGGTAACAAATGATATTATAATATCTAATATTATATTAAAACAGATTACTATAGTCTTCAGTTTGCTTTACTATTTTGCACCATTCACTAATGAACGAATAATAAAAATATTGTTGCTTAGCGTAGAGCGAACGATAATGAAAGAAGTGTTAATTAAATTTCTACGTACATTGAAATTCAATAATCTCGATGGACTAACGGATATAAATATTTCAAGTTAAATCATAAATATTTCAAAACGTCGAATGTGATATTAAAGTAATTTTAGCTCCATTTCGTGCAACATATGCAGACTATATTTAAATAATTAAATCCGTAAAATTATATATGAATGTAATGTGCAATGGAAATAAATTGACATATTTTATTCAGAAGGTATCTGAAATACTTTTGATGGTACCGTTTCCATGTCCGAAATTGTATTTTATATGGTAATGTTAAGGAAAGCTCGTGACATATATTTTTTAATTAATTCTATCTCTTTATCCATGTCATTTTTGTTCGAGCATATTAAAAGTACATTCGTTTTAGCACGTCTTCTCACCAGTTACGTAGAGTTATTTCAAAAACGGAAGTTTTTATTTGTACCCGTATTGTTTAGTTTCATTCGATTCTTCGTTCTCAACCATCGCCACCAATAGCATCGCTGTCATTGTGCTAACGTTTATGTCTGTCATGTAAATAACACAATGACGTCTGTACATTCTAATTTCTAACTTTTGGTACGTACACATTTTTAACCATCCCTTCGCGTAGCTCGTATTTCCATATCACTCGCGTGGTTTTACGCGCTCGCCTGTTTCAGTTTGTGCCACTCCGTGAAATATATCATCTTCGTCAATGCAGGATCGCGTCGCGATTTTGAATTGTTTCGCTTAATTACTTCGATCCAGGCCGAATCGGTCGTCTACGGAACAAAGTGGCCGCGCGCCAAAGCGTATTGCATCGTGCGTTCATTGTCTCCAGCGATGAATGCTGCTGTGAACTTTTTTAACGAACATTGTTTTGTCCTTCGCTTTTTGTTTTGTTTTGGTTCCTATGGTTGACGAATAACCTTTGTAAGGTAAATATAGTTGTTTCTGCCACTCCGAGCGAATGACTTGTTTTGGAATAAAAAAGCGATTTTTACACGATAGGGTGCGAACGACGAAACGGCATGAATACGAATGATAAATGTGTTCGATAAGTGATAATTTCTTAAATGACTCTTGATTATGAGATTCTTCAAACGAGTGACTTTTGTCAGATGTTTTCGATTATTTCTGTCAAAATAATTTGTTCGATGTTATTTCTGAAGATGAAAGAATAATACGACAAAGAAAATTGCAAATTAGAAAAATATACTGACAGTTTGCAGTGGAGAAAGAACCACGTCTCTGAACGAATAGTTTAGAAAAAAAACTAAAAAAGAAAAAAAAACAGACGAGTCAAGGTAAGAAAGTAAAGAGGGAAAGGAAACACTTTCATAGTTGGTCTGCGACATATGGAAACGCTCTGCAAATACTATTAATCGGTCGGTGGTTTCGCATTAATTCGAGCGCGCTATAAACAGGACGCATGGTTGGCTGCCGTGGCAGGGTGTGAAAAAGCCATTCAAAAGTCGACCAGACTCGACTCGCGACACTTTGCAAGAACCTCTTTACGCTTCGAGCATTATGCGCACCGCCTTAGCGAAACGACATGCGCAAACACGCGACTCCCTCGTTTAACGTACACTTGTTAATTAG